AAATGATGTTTTTTGGCGTAGTGTTCAAAGTTCTCAAAAGCTAACATGGAAACATCAGTCTTCGATCGCTTGTTGAGAACTGCTTTTCGTAAAGAAATTTCCATACTATGAGGTTGTAGACAACGTGTTCGACAGAAGGCTCAAGTTCGAAATTTTCTCTATGGCTACAACCTCTGGCGAAGGCCGTCAAGGCATCTACCAGCTCTAGTGACATCCTGCAATATCGCTATGACCACCGGTGCATTGACACAATTCCATCCACATTAATTTGTGATGGGTAAAAGACTGATATTGGCCTTTTTTTAAAGTTGGGTGGGTTGTTAATTTCAGTCTTTTTGCTAGCTATGTAACATGCTTTTTTTTTTTCATAATAAATGGTACATTTACTAGCCTTTTCTGCCATCCAAATTTATCAACACATTTGGGTAGGTCAGTCCACTCGTTGGATGAGTCTTTATAAAATATGGACCTTACAATTTTCGCTAGCTTCTCGTCAAGTTAGTGCTCGAACGATAAAAACAGAATGCCAGTGCGTCGCTCTCCTGTCGCCAACTTTTCGCTAGAGCGACGGTTGATCCAAAAAATCCTAATTTGCTGTTTTGAAATATTTTTTCGACCCATTCAATCTAATTATCCTCTTTTATAAATACCCAAGCATTTGCACGAAATTGGGTGTGGTTGTTCATCGTGCCTCTTCTCTATAACATATTTAAGATCTTATTCATACATTGAATTCATCATTTCACTCTTGATTTTATACAGCCACATATTTAGGAAAAACATCAAAACCATTGAATATGAAACACCACATACGTCCTATTGGTCATATGAATATACTTTCTCAGTTGAACTTCAGAGGCCGTTGGAGGTTGAGAGAGGTTAGACTACAAGTACAGGAAGAGCATAAGGCCTTGAAGTAGGTTCTTGGAATTCCACTTGGAAGATACAATTGCAGAAAATCTTGGAGCAGGTCTTGTAGCAGACCTTGGAGTTAGCAGAAAATATATCGGAAAGTCTAGTAGAGTTGGCTAGATAGCATCTGACTGTAACTCACTTCGTATTATTTATAGTGGAGATAACTGACTTGGTTCCAGAGTTTTTACCCAATTGGGGTTTTTCCGTCATCATATCGGTGTTTATTATTACTTTCCTTATTATTGCAGGATTCAAACATAGGATAATTGGACTTGTATGCTTAATAATCTAGAAACAATTAAAAGTGACTTGTTGCTTTTGATTGATTAATTCGGCACATAGGGTCAAAACTAAAAACGAATAAGTAACAACCATCCGATAACTTAAAAGTCGTTAAATTGGTAATCCATGAACTGTTAAGTGGTTTCCTGTGCAACACCCGATTTTTTTAAAAATTGGTCGCCAAAATGGTCCATCCTTCATTGATTTGCTATTTTCCTGCTAAGGCAATTTATACTTTTTAATGTATTCATAAAATTTAAATTGTAAATTTATCGGTCAATTCCTATATTTGTCTTGCTGCTAAAATAATTAAAGTAAAATCTAAACTTGTAGCTTGCAACTAGGATGCACCTACACCTTCTCGGTGCCAGTAAGGTGATGTTTTACGTGTGTCGGATAATGACACAACACTTACACCTATTGGATATGTCAGGTTCAAATTATTATTTTTTTGTACGATTGTACATGAACTAGTAGTGAGGTAAATTTTGTGTTCTCCATGACGTGAATGGTGTTTCGGCTGCTCCGATCAATGTTTGCTACCTGCAAAACAAGGTTGGGACTTTCTCCCCCATTGTACCTCCGACGTGAGAATTAGTCTTCGATTTTAGAGAATATGAAGAGAATATAGTGGAATTCAAATAGTTCGGGTTTTTTTTTAAGAAACCATACCTTTTCTCACATTGGGGTATTTATAGGCACCTGATGACATGCTCTCGTTCCATGATTAATTGCGCCACGTGTCCCACGTATACCTTCCCACTTCTCCCATGTTCTAGAGTTGTGACCCCCACTCGTCTAGCGATTAGTTATGCCCATGTTCGTTGTTGGCTGATTTTCGTCCAACCCATTACCATTTATTTGGTTAAGTATAGTGTTGGTCGCATGGTGGTAGGCGGTCATGTGCGAACGTAGAGCGCCTCATGGGGGTCAACGACCTTATGGTGGTAGACGACTCTGTATGAACGTAAAGGACCTCATGGGGGTCGATAGCCTCATAGTGGTAAATGGCCCTGTGTGAATGTAGAGGGCCCCGTGGGGGTCAACGGGGGTCACGGCCTCATAGTGATAGACAGCCTATGTTGTGGTGCTCGATCGGGGGTCGTGGAGAATTATTAACATCTTATATCAGTACATATTACCGATATATTGTCGACACATAGAGAGATACATCGTGTCAAACGTCACATCACCAACACCTCATATTATGTATTGAAATTCCTTGGTAGCATGTCAAATTATTTTTTGATTTTGTACAGTTGAATACATCGTTAACACATTGCCAACGTGTTAGGAGTTAATTACAGACATGCCAGAATTAACCAACAATTAAATCCACTTTACAATTTACAAATAAAAAACAATTAACATCATTTTAGTCAACGTGTGAGGGATGTGTCGCGTCGTTACTTAAAAAAAAATAGTATAAATAGAAGACATACTTTCTATCTCGAGAGGGTACCTATATAGTA